TTGGCCATTTAAGGCTTTATATGTGAGAAGGAGGATTTGAAATTCTATTCTGGATTTAACAGGAAGCCAATAAAGAGAAGCTAAGATAGGAGAGATATGATCTCTCTTTTACTTTTCATGATTTTACATTACCTTCCATATTCAGTAGGCGTCCCTCAGTGATCGGTTTTGGGGCTCTTACTGTTCTCCCGCTGTTTCATTGATTTGTCAAATGTATGTAAAAATTGAGAAACTACCATATAAGCTGATAACAATGTCATCTATATACATGTGAAAATGACCATGAAGAAGCCAAACAACTTTCAACACTTTTGAAAGATCTTCAGAAATAGTTAATCAATGCGTCATAGACAGATACAGCTGCAATAACCCTTTTACATTCAGTGATATTGTCACATACACTGGGGCGTCCATCTTTAGACCTGTTGAATGGTGCCACTGTAACACTCTGGATAAATATAGGCTATCATCATTTGTTGGTTTTAAAAAGTTTAAATCTGCATCTCTGGTTTTATTAAGTCATACACGGTGCGGCTGCTCTGCCATCCAATGGCATCCTGACGTGTAACTCCAACAGAGGTGTTAAGTAACAAAGTACAAATGCTTTATTACTTTCTATCTATTCTTTACTGGGAACTTCTTTTATTTTTAAAAGTAGAATTTTAAAAATAGATTGGCCTGTTGGTATCTAAAGAAAACAAAACATCAAAATCATTTCTTTCATCCAGGCAATGGACTTCTTTGTGGTTGGAATCGGTGCTGCCCCAACTAGTTGTTCACCACATACTAAATAAATAATTTTTCAAGATGATGCAAAGTTAAACTAACAAAAAGAAGTCTAAGGAATTTATCACCCAGAATGGTAGAAGAATTTTCCTTTAATAGGGCAGTGCAGTAACCGGTATAAGGTTAAAAGCATCTTATAATTTTTCCTGCATTACTTTTTATTTTATACTTTAAGTAGTTTTTAAAATGGTTATTTTACACTTGAATAAAATGCTTAAGTTATCCTCTAACTTCTACAGTAGAATTTGTACCTCTACTTGAGTAAAAAACATTCATCATTGTGACCCGTCTGAACTGTGAGAGCTGGTTGTGAACTTCAATTTAGACGGACATGGTTTCCATAGAACGTCATGCCACCTGAGGGCTGGACCTTCTGGGATACCGTACCTACTTCAGTGAGGGAAGCAGAACTTTTCAAACCTTCAAAGCACTTTTAAAAATGTGATCATGAGTGATCTGGGTGCACTAGGGTGATAAACACATTAACGGGCCCTGATCACTATGTATCCTCACTGTTTTATTGTCAGTACTATCAGGTACTTTGCGGTGTCTGTGTTTATTATTGTTGTTATAAATACTGTATCGGTCTATGACATCAACCTGACAGGAGGACTGCAGATGGAAATTAGCCCAAACCTATAATCTGGCATATTTACAATCTAATGTTCATTAATATGCACGTTCCTCTTCTTCTCTGAATAAATGAATGCAACATAAGGCTTATAGGATTCCTAAAAACCTTTTAACCTTATAAACCAGCTACTGTCAGAAGAATAATGTCTGCATGTCCTGTTTCTACGTCTGAGCAAACAGATACGGCAAAAGATGAGGAACATTTTCCCTTCCATAAAAAGAAACCAATAAACACAGCTGACGTGCTTCCATGCGTCCAAGGATTAAATTTCTGAAGCCATCTGAAGACAGAGCATCAAGATTAATTGGAAAGTCTTCATCATCATCATCATCATCATCATCATCATCAATAAAGCAGAATTTCATTTCCTGGTGAAGCGAATCACAAGCGAGTGTGAAGAGCCTCCAGATGGTTCCATCTCCCTTTGTTTACAGCCCTGATCTAATTCAGGAAGCTGCCTTGTTTTTAAATAAACAAAAGTTCCTGTCTGGATACTATGATGTTTAAAACATTTTATTAAGACTTTTAAAATTCAGTAAAATATGGAGAAGGATTAGGACCACTGGACACAAACAAACAAGTTAACCCATGTTTTAATTTTTATTTCAGTTTAATATTGTGAAAAAAAGCCAGAATTTTGACTTTTATCTCAGAATTCTGACTTTTTTCTTAGAATTCTGAATTTAATCTCAGAATTGTGGATCTTAATGTAGATGGGCACTATGAAGGAAGAGATGTGGGAGCACTCAGATTCACTGACAAAGATCTGAGTTGTTTGGGAGGAACTGTAACATATTGGTGGAAAATGACGGAATTATGCGACTTTTTACGCACCCGAGGAGTCCTATTTATTAATAGAAGGGCAGAAGGTGATTGAAACAACAGGGCTAGTTTAGTCCCTAGAGAAGGCTATGTCTTGATGCTAACATGTTTTTTAGCTGTCAGAAAGTCTGAATTACTCCTGAGATTACAGTCAGAATTCTGAGATTAAAGTTGTTACTCTGAGACTACAGTCAGAAGTCTGAGATTAAAGTCAGAAGTCTGAGATTGAAGTTAGAAGTCTGAAATTAAAGTTAGAAGTCTGAGATTAAAGTCAGCATTCTGAGATTAAAGTAATTAGTCTGAGACTAAAGTCAGAATTCTGAGATTAAAGCCAGAAGTCTGAGATTAAAGTCATTAGTCTGAGACTTAAGTCAGAAGTCTGAGATTAAAGCCAGCATTCTGAGATTACAGTCATTATTCTGAGATTAAATTTAGAATTCTGACTTTTTTCCATATCAAACTGAAATAATATTTAAAAACCAGTAAACCTTTTTTTTTTCTTTTTCTGAGTGGCCCTAATCCTCTTCTGTAATCAAAAGATAAATTATGTGAAAATGTGTTTTAACCTCGGTGGTCTTTTTTTCTGCCTGGGGTGGCACAAAGTTGCCAGTAAACAAAAAGGGTGTACAAGTTTACTGCTGCTTTACACACCAACTGGTGGCAAACCAGCGCCCCCCTGTGGCACCAACAGGGAACAGCATTGATAAAAAGAACTGCTGAACAGCTGATGGTTGGGCTGTAAAAGGACCAGGCAGCAGATGATAGTTTATAAGTGAAATCTGAAGTATTTGGATCAGTTTGTATTTATAAAAATATCTGCTTACAGAAAAACAAAAAAACCTCAAACATGTTCAAAGATTTTTATTAAATAGATGTCAGTTTAATCCTTTAGATTATTTTAATCTGTTTGCAATTAAGTAGTGGTAGTGGCGGGCGAGTGGTTAGGGCACAGAGCTTGGAGTCCAGAGGTTCTGAGTTTGAGTCCCACTCCCACAGGCTGCCACTCTGTCTCCCTGAGGAAAGACCCTTAACCCCAAACTACTCCCTGAGGGCTGCACAATGGCAGCCCACTGCTCCCCAAGGGGATGGGTTAAATACAGAGGTACATTTTCCAATGTAAGATCAATTATCATAAAAAATATATTAAGACATTTATGTGAGAAACTCAACTTCCAGGGATCTTAGGACCGCTAATTACCAAGCGTAAACAGATGAAACTGAAAACCTTAAGAAGTTGTGAAAAATATTTTAATTGTTCTCATTTACAGGATGATCAGCTTTGTATACAGAAACAGACTGAAATGTGATCAATAACGGATGATTTGTTGATTCTCTGGTGCCGTTGGAGCTTCATCAGAACCGACCGGCTGTTTCAGAACATCCAGAGGGTCACACGACAAAGAGCCGCCATGTCTGCCCGGCCAGGAGCTGCTCTCCCGCCGCCGTGCAGCGAGGCTCTGAGGGAGCGAAACGAACCGACTGTCCATGAGCTTCAGTTCTCCACTTTGGCCGCTTTGGGTTCCTGGCCTTCATCAACCACCTCCCCCTTCCTCTTCCTCAGGCCCTTCATCTTGCGTGTCTGCAGCTTGGACAGATCCTGTTTCTGCATGTGAACCCGGCCAAATGTGGTACCGAACACATTGCTGGAAATGTTCTTCTTCTTCGTTGGCTGTAGGGAAAAAACAGAGCAGGAGGGTTAATGCAGGAGCAGAAGGAGAGGTCTCTGCTGCCCCCTTGAGGACATTTCCAGATATTTACCAGAGAAATATCTCATCTATAAATCAAAAGGAGAACATATGAGCAGAACGTTAGCCCCTCCCTCAATCCAAACCGCAGTATAACAGTCGTATTAGTGGTTTTTTCTCCTAGTTACTGAAATGGAATAATTTATCAGAGGTTATTTCTCCTGTCCTGAGAATCACTGATCTCTATTTTTTCACTGGATTGCTGACTGCCTGAAAAAAAAGTACCGCCATATTGGTCCTCCCTAGCCTAGTAAACTAGCCCCACCCGCCAGCGGCCAAAATTATTTTGGCTGCTAGTGGTCTAGCCTCGATCAATGCCCCAGGCTCTAGAATCACAATGCAGAGATGTGTTTTGAATTTCTAGATGCAAAGTGGGCGGAGTTTGAGGGCGGGACAACAAAGCTGCACAACGTTGGAGAAAGAATAAACAAGGAAGATGGCAACAACTATTGAACAGTAGCATCAACTGCGGCAGCAGCAGCTTTCAATGGAGCATCCATTGAAAGTTAAATGTTCTCTTTCTGTTGTTCAATAAAAGTACGTTTTGAGATAATTTGAGGCAAGAATTTTATACTTTAAAGCATAACTTTATGGTCCATTTACCGATTTAATGCGTAATTAAAAAAATATTTCCAAAGCTTAGAGGACCGTGGCAGCGAGAGGAGCTCAGAGGCTAACGGCAGCCAGGGCTAACCGCAGCCCGTCTGCAGCAGCCTTCTCTTGGTATAGTAGCGTGTGAAGAACCGCTGGCTCTGATGGAGGTTTTTGACTCAGCTTTGGAATCAGTTTTAAGAGGATCAGACATTGGGTATTCGTAGAAATGTGAGCAGGAAGAGGTTCTACGCTCTTTCATTTTTAAGATAGACGTATTCGCTTTTTACCGACAGGCTGTTTGTTTACACTCCCCCACCAGCTTCCTGTGGCGCTTCCTATGTCACAGTCAGTTGTGCTCATTGGTCAGAGCGTTGGCCAATAGGCACAGACATGGTTTGAAAGACAACAGGTTGTTCTCATTAACAATCTTCTGCTGTCTCATTCATCGGGGCCAGACTAAATTACACATTTAATCTCACATTTAGTCTATTTTATCAGGCTAGATGCTCCCCACTCCCACGGAGACACGCAGCAAAAATGCCTACATGTGTAGCATTTGGCTGCAAAAACAAGCAGTTTTCGGATGTGCCTATTTTAAAAAATAAGATAAAGTAATCTATTGATGCTATGAAACAGCCAGTGTGTGTCAAAGTGATGAATTTATCTTTTTTTTTTTAAGTCTTAAGTCCCCCTGAAAATGAGAACATCATCGTTGTTTGATGCTGTAGGGCACATATTGTTTGTATTGCGAAAAGTCTAAATAGGAAGTACCAATATGGCAGCCGGTGACTTCACATCAACCCCCTACTACCAACGGGCAATAAGCAATCCAGTGAATAAATAGAGATCAGTGCTGAGAGCAGATTTACCTTCAGGGCTTTGGGCTGTCTGTGAGCCAGCTTGTACAGGTCGTCTGACGCCAGGTGTGTTCTCCTCATCACGAAGTCGAACGACGGCCCGATCTCCTCTAGCTCGATCCTCGGCGTGCGGCACCCAGACTTCTTTAACAGACACCTGCAGCCGCACCAAACAGCCCTGTTAGCTTGGCGCTGAAGACACACCCACCTTCTGTGACGTTAGCGTGGGTTTCTGAGCGGCTTTCTTGCCTGTAGCTGCGCAGGTAGATTTTTCCCTCCAGGGCTGTGAAGTGCAGGACGTGTTCCAAACCGGCGAGACGCACCGCCGACACGGTGGGGCCTCTGAAGAAGTCTGGGGGACGGAGAGGGAGAAGTTCAGCTCAGCATAAAGAGGCTCCGAACGTTCAGGCTCATCATACCTATCAGCAGGCTCTTCAGTCGCTTATATTCGTTGTCCGTGTCAAAAAGTTCCCCGGCGAACACGAGCATGGGTTTGGTTCCTAAAGGACACTTGGTAGTCTGAACCAAAAACAGGAAGACCTGGGTTAGAGCCGCCATTTAACACCAGCACTGAATCAGATCCAAGAAAATCATTACCTTGATCTCACTCAGGGAGACAAACTTCTCAATACCAAGTTCAAACATATCCAGGACATGGAAATCAAACATTCGACCTGCAACGCACCAAAAAACACCCATAAGACACCGGGAGGGCTCAGCGCCGTTTGTTTGGACACTCTGGGGTCAGACCGTACCAAATATGAAGTTGTTGGGTCGTTTCTTGTTGTGGGAGCCGAACAAAAACAGAGAGCAGTCCGTTTTCTTGGAGAAAAACTCCTGAAAAACGACACAAACCATCATCAACATCATCCAAAATAACACTGCAGACAAAGCACTTCAGGTAACCGTGACTCAGGCTCACCAGGGATGTGGAGTCCTCAAAAGGCCGAGTAATATTCTTCCTGAAAAAAACACAGAACGTCAGCCTCATTTAGCCAAAGGTAGCGGCTAAATGCTAGCTCAGGAATTATTAACTCTGAGTCTGCCTTTTCTTTCCACTCCTCTTGGTCGTGTTTTGGTCTGTCTGGAGATCTCATATGGAATTAATCTGTGTCGCTGGGATTTAAATAAAAAATGCCACTGAAATTTAAATGTTGTATGTTTCTACTTACTGTTTCAGTGTTAAAATATATTCAGAACACATTTTTGAGCTAAAAAAAATTCGTCATTATTTCTACACAGTTGAAATTTCATTTGTTATTTTCTCTTCAAGCTAAAAATTCACATTACTATTTCAAAGAGATTACAATATTTTTCAGTTTAATTTTTCAGTGTTAAAAGAATCTCCATATAAAAAAATTCAACCTTTCAAAATTCAAACTCAATATTTTCAGCCTCCTGAGAATCAGCTGGCTCTATTTCACTGTCTTAAATTCGGCGTCTAAATTCAGTGTAAAAAGGGAAGGGTTACTTCAGGTCACAGACATTAGCAATGGATTGTGGCGTCCAACACCCAGCCAATCCCGTTACGTTTTCTTAGTCACGTGACGTGACGCTTGTGGCGCTCATACTGAAGAAAACCAGCATGATGGAGCCGGTCATGCAAGCTAACGCTAACTCAACGGTGAGTTTATTACTTTAATTTTTCTGTAGTTGAGTGAGCATTAGCTAGCATGACCGGCTCGTTCATCCAAGCTAACACTAACTCAACTACAGAAAAATGAAAACAATAAACTCACCGTTGAGTTTGATTTTTTTTAGGTCATAAATGTGTTCTGAATATATTTTAACTATGAAACAGTACAAACATACAACATTTAAACTTCAGTGGCATTTTTAATTCAAATCCCGGCGACAGATGTACTTCCATAGTCTAACGCTACTGAAGTTTAGAGACGTTTTCTATGCAATTAATATCAATGTTCTACTGTGTCCTGATTTAGGGAATTAAACCATGATTCCCTAAATTAGATTCAACAGGAACTAAGGAAATTCAGGCTGTTGGATTAAGTCCTTTTTTAAAGATTAGTTTTATTAGCAGAAGCTTTTACAAGATATCTATGGTGTATAGCAAGTATTTACAGTTATACTGAAAATGTTATCTTATAAAACAAACTTATTGATATATAGTCTTACAGACACACCATACAAGGAGGAGGATTTTTGATTTTTAACCCCAAAAGAAAACAACGAAACAAGATAAACCTTCCCCCTCCCACCCTCGTTTCTTGTATGGTTCTGAATATCCTTTCATTTCTGGACGCAACATTTCCATCTGAGCTCATTCGTCTCTGTATAATTCAACACATTACTTCTATCAAATATTTCCTGACGCTCTGGCGAAATCGCTCCACGCTCGCTCAAATTCTCAGGAGAAAGCATTTTCTGACGTCGTCTTTCATGTAATTATTACACTCGGCGTTTGATTTAATGATGTCACCGATACACGCGTATTGTCTTATCTAACTGACTGTTAAATTAGCGTTTTCCAGCTGTGAACGTAACACCTCGCTCCATTCATGTTGCCCCGCGTTTCCTATTTAATTATTTTAACAAATTACACTTAAATTAAATAAATGTGATTTTACAAATTTTATTATCCAACATTTTTAACTGACGTTATGAACGCATCGGAGCGAAGCAAAATCCTCGCTCCGGCCTTTGAATTGAAAACCGCTCCACCATATTTCCTCCGCTCACACGCTCTGGCTTGTCCACATTAAGGCCAGACGCGCCTGAGGAGCATCAAAGCTGCTCCTCAGGCGCGTCCAGATGCTTCTGCTGCTCCTGTGTTCAATGGCAGAGAGCCGCTTTGCTATACTTGCTGTCATCAGTGGATAAAAAGTAGTTTTAATGTTTCTAAGTGAGAAAATCCACCTGAAAACATCTGTGCAGTCAGTTCATCAGGATTCAAATCCTGCCTTCAAATATTATTTCACATTTAGAGCTCCCTTGAACCCCTAATGAGGTTTTCCCCCTACTGTTGGTGGCGGCTGGAAGTAGATGTTGGCGTTTTTCAGGCATGTGATACAAACTGCAGCACCAGGATAATAAAATCGAACATATTTTACTGGCAGGTTTCTACGTTTTAAGTTAATTTAGGCGTTAATAAACTGTTTCAGAGGAGTGATCATCGGACTCTACATCAGCAGTGATGTGTCCGTCTCGCTGCCAGCTCCCAGATCAGCTTCTCCGATTGGTTGATGTGGCGCATCCAGCAGCAAAAGTTCAATTTTTCCAACTGCAGCTGCTGCTGCTTCTGAAGCGCTTCACCCCAAAAGCTCATGAGCCGCTGTTTTACAGCGTAGTTTCTGTGCCACCAACTTGAGTGTGCAGTTACCAGTCTAAGGGTGCAGTGAGAACAATGTGCAGCGTTTAAACTCCCACATTCTTGCTCAAAATCTGTCTGGTGCAGAGAGTTTCTGAGTGCGCTTTAATGCGCTCGCTCAGCTTAATCTCTGCATGCATTCAGGTCTCTACTCACTCACTTATAGCAGGCTGTTTTTACATTTATTAGCTAGACTGAATATGTAACCCAGATATCTCAAATGGATTTCTTCCAACTCATAATACCTGAAAATTTCAGATAGTTTTCAGATCATTTTTAAATAGAAAGAATGTTATTTTAGATATCTTTAAGTAAAAGCCCAATACACATGAATGGGAAAAGTGGCATCATTTGTGCTAGTAAGAATTACATTTAAGATATATCCATCCATCCATTTTCTAGCAGGCTTATCCCGAGTAGGTTCACGAGGGGTGCTGGTGCTTATCTCCAGCAGTCAGTGGGTGAGAGGCGGGGTCCAGCCTGGACAGGTCTCCAGTCCATCGCAGGGCAACACAGAGACAAACAACCATTCACACACGCAGTCACAACTAAGGGGACTGTAGAGAAGCCAGTTAACCTAACAGTCATGTTTTTGGACTGTGGGAGGAAGCCAGAGTACCCGGAGAGAACCCACGCATGCTCAGGGAGAACATGCCATTTAAGATATATGAAATTTTTATTTTAGATAGGAAGAATGTTATTTTAGTTTTGAGTGAGAATGCGTTAATTTAAACCTGAAGATTGTTCTCACAGCAAGCTCAGACTGGTTAACTGTGCGCTCATGTCTGTGATACAAAACCTACAACACACTGCTTCAGCTGCGCCAAGATGTGGGGAATGGTGTCCTGGGGCCGGATTTCCAGCTCATCGCGATACTTGACTCCCTGAGCTTGGAATTCTGAGGTTCTGAGTTTGAAACCCACTCCCACAGACTGCCACTCTGGGTCTCTGAGCTAAGACCCCTAACCCCACACTGCTCCCCAAGGGGATGGGTTAAATGCAGAGGTAAATTTCTCCAGTGTGAGATAAATAATGTTTAATATTATTATTATTATTATAAGATGCACTACTGGACGTTCTAATGCGCATCAACCATAGACTTTGCATGTGAACGTAGCATTATGCTGCTGGATAAATTCAGAGTTAGAGGGAAGCACTTACTTTTTGTAAAGGACAGCATTTGGTTTCTTCAAGGAATACTATGGAAAAAAAGAGAGACATTTTTATCAGATCATCTAACATGTTGGTGTTTTTAATTGTGTTACTGTAAATAACTATAATTATAATTTAATGCCGCTAAACAGGAAAAAAGGTCAGTTAGGAGATCCCCTCCATGTGTGATTTATTCACCTGAAGCCTGCACTGTGTTCACCACAGAGGTAATGACTGTTTACTAAGCAATTTAAACACTGAATGAACCTTCATCAAAACTATCAAATAAAGGGATCATTTTATATTATTTTACTCACTATATCTTTGAGGGCTGTAGTGACGGTCTGACTGGTGTTTCCTCCTTTCATGATCATGGTGCTTTTCACATCTTCAACCAGTTTGGGAGCTCGGCTCTCCAGGAAACGCTTCGAGCGTTTCGTCTTTGGTTTCCTGAGGAGACAAAAAGGTTAAAAAATACAAAAATTTAAAGATTTTTTTTTTTCAGAAACAGATGCTGATGATTTATGGTATATTTAGGACGTTTTAGCAAATATTGGAGTTCTCTCTGAGTTTTATGGTAAAGCTACTTTCCCATTTGATCAACAGAAGTATTCAGATTGTTTATATGTTTAAAAATAAATGTTTCAGTAGGGGTGTAATCTGCCCACATTAGTTTGAACCAAATCAACCTAGAAGCTGATCATTGGTCTAATATGAGCTAAAGGACATTTGAATGATGCTGTCTGGGAGTTTTAAAGGGACATCCACCCTGCTGAGCATTAGCAGCAACTTATACATCCCTGATCAATCATCCATAGTTTATCTTTGTCGTCAAAGGTCAAAGTCAAAAACTGGGATTTCTCATCAACAAAGCTTTCAGTTGTTCCCTGCAGGGTGTTTTCAGGCCAATAGACGTATAACCTGGATGTGCTCTGGGATGTCATAAACACCTAAGACAGCCTCAGAATAGTGTGGAAGAAGTTTGCCATACAAACAAACCCAGACGCTGCTGTTTATAAGCATAACAGGCATATAACGTCATAACCATGAAGCAACTTTGTCCAGAGTCAAAGATGCTAATTTAGCAGGTTAGCCAGAGCTTTCCTTTTAATATAAGCTACCTAAACGATGTACAAACACATTCCCCCCCAACATTCCCCTCATAACATGGAGGCTCATAGTTTACTTACACTACTCCGTCTAAATGCGTCATTTTTTAACCTTTTTTTGTGGTATTTTCAAGGCTGCTGCGCTCGTGCTTCTCTTCTTTCCCACGTGAAGCTTCACACCGGAAGACAACAAGAAGCTCTTCTTCTTTACTGCTGGCTGTTCCGTTGGTGTCTATTAACTACCTGCCCGCTACTGCCACCTACTGTCTAAAGAAGGCACTGCAGGAGAAATACAACAGAGGATGAGCTCACATTCTGACCAGCAGGGGGCGATATAATCTTTCTTACCACGATGGGAAGATTTTATTCCCACTAGAAACAAGTTGCCAAAAATTCAACACATTTATTTAGTTTATAATTTCTTTAGTTAACTAGAAATGAAACTTGTAAAATCAACACATTCGTTTATAGATATATAATTTCTTTAGTTTATTTGCAAGCATGAAACTCGCAAAAAAAAAAAAAAAAAAACA